AGCTACTGAAAGCAGTAGCTTAGCAACACAACTAATGCCCAAGGCACGCCAGCACAAGGATATACACTTAGCAACAAAATTTATGCTCATTCCATGTACAACATTGGGAATTTAAGACGCATTTGCAGAAATATACCCATCCAGAAAAGGGTAAATCAACACTTTTAATTTTTAATGCTTCTTTAAATGGTAAACTTCTTTCGACTTAGAAGCACTTCAAGACCCCATTCAGTGCACAATTAGACAATAATGCCTAGCTGATTCACATTTAAACAGTCGCTCATAATTATTTACATGATGATTAAATCTTTGAAGGCACCTGGCCCATGTATGTTTGAATTCAGATGCAGAGTAGTATACCAACACAATTTCATCATGATGTACCTGCCAAGTAGAACAATGATTTGAACTCTGCCAACTTCTATGAACTGGATATATACAGTCCTTTTACAAGGGCTTAGAGGTATACTAGATGGTGAGATACTACCCCAACCTAGTTTTTCCCAAGCTAAATTTTACTTAATATATTTATGAAAAGGAATTTAACTTAATATTTAATAACCCATTTTCTGACATCTAATATCATCTAAACTACCGCCATTCATGCCTCTGAATTTAATCTTATCTTGATTTTCCAGAAGAATACCTCTGCTGTACAAGTTACTAAAGCATATATGAAACATATCCTCTCCTAAAATAACGTCCTTATCTATAACCACTAACAGATGTTTAGATTTCTCTCTTTCCACTATTGCAAACATCATGTCTCCATATAGAGAGTACATTTGCTTGCCATAATTTACCTGCCACATTGTTATGTATAAAACCCTCAGTCTCAGTGTGCAATATTTTTGTACAAACATGTATTGATTAATCACGCACAGCTATAATAATCAATCCTCCACAGCTATAATAATCAATCCTCCACAGCTATAATAAGTGTCTCGAAATAAAAAGGTTCTCAGAAACTTGTTTCTCAGTAGTTAGTGGGTTATTGTGTTGGAAATATACTATTATAAAAGACCATCCAAATGAAAACTAAATAAAATCATTAAAGAAATGAAACCAGAGGGACCTCAGAATGAGGTTGGTTCCTCAGTCTTTTTGAATTCTATATGCAAGAAAATTAGAAATATGTGAAGTCATTCTGCACATCATCTATCTAGTAAAAATGCTATACCCCACTGATAAAAACAGAAAGTAACATAATTAAATAATTAATAAGGCACATACACAATGCCCAGACAAGTATGGCTTAATCAAAGTCAGAAAGGTCTCTGGGAAATGCATAAAAGGTACAAAGTCATAATCTTAGAGAACTAGTAATGGAAAATAGTAAAGTTTCATTGTGCACATGGATAACAACTGCATGCACGCCTAAACTAACAAACTAATCAATAAAAATTTATCTAGAGCTATACAAAATATTCAGAAGAAGAACCAGCTTTTCAACTTTATCAAAAAAAAAAAATTTAATCCACCATTCCTGAGGCAAAAGTGCTGGAGGGGCACAAACAATTGAATAGCTGAACATCTAACTTACCAATCACTACAACCTTCACACTGAACCATGAGGTCATCAGGGTTGTAAGGCATCTCACACTTGCAATACCTGCCACATGAAAATAGAAACTGGGATAAGCAAGAACTGCTCAAGTGAAATTACCCAATATCAGTTATCCCCAAACCCAAGGTTGAAACAACATCAGCTTGTTATTCATAAAAGTCAAACAAATTGTTCTCATCAATAAAATAAAATTGTGGGAAACCTATATAACGAAAAAAATTATGGGAACTTAAGTTCAAGGCTCAAATATATTTTAGTTGTAATTCCCAAACTCAAAAGGCAAGTACGCATAGATATATAACTGAAGGAGGGCAAATGAAAACTTGAACATAAAGTTCCATTGTTTAACAGAAGGGGGCAAAACTAACAGGAAAGTGAGAAACAAATGTGGCATCATGAAGAGAAGATATATATATAGCATAGTTTGCACAACAGATAAAACCTAAAACCCCAGAAGAATTTAAAAAGGTTTTAGCTTTGAGGTTTGGTTTTACGTATTCTCCTTCATTTCTTTCTCACCTCTATCGTATCTCATCTCATTCACTTCATTGTCCTATTCTTTATCAGAAGAGCCTAAGTTTCTAAATTGCAATGAATAAACTATAAAGAGTAAGCTAAAGTCCCATGCTTTTACATTCAATTCAATAGAATACCAAGGAAAGCATATAACTGAAGCACAAAATCACTAACAAACACCAAATAAAAGTTGAATTAAAGAACAACTCAATCGCCAATTCACTTCAATTCAGCCAATTTTAGGCAAAACAGTAAAAAACAATGAGCTTAGAGAGAAAAGGAGAAACGTACACAGCGACACGGTCGGGATTGAAAGCTCCGGTTGAGGAATTATACTCGAAACGACAGAAGAAGTCGTCGTTCCCAACAGCGTCGAGCTTGGTATAGCTCTTGAAGGTGTGCACCGTACACTTAGCCTCGATGGTGTCGGCGCTCTGAACGTCGTGGTGATCGGAAAGAAACACCTCCTTGGAGCCGTGAAACTGTCGCCGGCCACCAATCGACTCCTCCGGCCGATAGTACCAGCGCACGTTCACCTTCACGTTGGAGCCGCGGCTGTCCGCCTCGATCCGCTCGATTTTCGCCACGTACGACGGCTTCCCGGAATCCGACGGCCGCATCAGCACACAGTCCCCAGCTGATCGCCACAGAGACAGAGAGAGAGAGAAATCAAAATCAAAATTTACAGCGAATTGAAAATTCGAATTTGATTTTTTTTCTAGAAACTACCTCTGACGGTCTTGTTGATGTGCTTGACAGTGTAAGAGTCGAGTGTTCGTCTCGCAGCTTTTGGTTTGGCCATGGCGAATCGTTTGCAGAGATTTTCACAAACTCATCGCCCAAAACCAAACACAGAGAGATTTGGAAGAATCTGGAATTTGGAATTTTTTGAATTGAAATTGAAAACAACTCAGAATTTAATTAGAAAATAAAAAGGAAAAAAATAAGCGAAAATTATATGATTCGTGCAATTCCACGTAGATTCCAAATATTATTTAATTAATTTTTCGAGTGGTGGTGATGGGATTGTTCGTACGTATAGGAGGACTTTTTGGTTGTAGGGTAGACGCGGGCACAGTAAACAGCTTTCTTTACGCGCCTTTTTTAACGTATTTGATCGTATCGACCGGTTGTCGTACGTGTATGTATCTAACATAGTATTATAATAATGACAGCGTGTTGACTGGGGTCTTTTCTTTCTTGATTTTTTGGAGCACTTGCATGTCACACACATAGTTTAAAATATTTTGAAATGTATCCATATATATATTGTATAAATATCGATAATATCGAACAATATTTATGCCGATAATTTCTCTTACACTTCAGCAATATTTGGCCAAAATATTTCTATAATATCGATAATAATGAAGACAATGAAAAATTTGAACAATTATTTAAACTAACACCCCCTGAGATTTCTTGTATTTTCACAAAACCCATTTTCGTTGATTGTTTGTCCCAAAATTGATGATTTCATTAAATAAATAAAAAAACTTATGCAAATGACAAAATTAACCTCAATAAAGTGTATGTAATCTAATATCAAAGGCCATTCATAGAGTTTTTTTGTATAAAATCATCAATCTTTGGATGAAAAATCAATGAAAATGAGTTTTGTGAAAACAATTTAAAACCTCAGGGGGTGTTCTTGTAATTTCTAAAACCTAAAGGAGTTTTGTGAAAAAATTTGAAAACCTCATGAGGTGTTAGTGTAAATACTCAAATTTGAATCTTATAGGAACTCTATGTGGTACTAAGTCACTCTTGCATCTTACCATGCAATGTATAAAGTGTAAATATTATAGTGAATCATTATAAATAAATTATTATGGTGTGCTTAATCTTCTTTCATTAATTACTACATATTTTCGACACTCGAAGTGTTTGTCAGCTCGCTATATAATCAATTTAAATCAGTTAAACTCATCATGCAATGCATTTCCTACAAATTTTTTGATAAAGTAATAGATAATTAACTAAATAAACATCTTCTTCAATAAAAATTTCCAAGTTTTTCGTACAGTTTCTATGTTTTCTATTCAATTTTTATTGATATCAATAATATCCCGATATTTCTATCAAAATTTCCGTGTTTCTAGACTACTGATATTTCCGAAATCATCAATATTTTAGACCTTGGTCACAAGGACATGTCAATGTTTTGCTATTCCCATTTAATCACACTTTGTCTTATGAAATCCTTATTACGCGTGACAATCCGATGGGTGGATTAAATATTGTAGGTGCAAGGGTAAATGCTCTGAATCACTTGAGCTACCAATCCTTTATGATCCAAGTTGAATTTTGTGGGCTTACGTTGATTACGGATTTAAGTTTATTAAATGAATTTCGGATTTCAAATGTTGGGGCCTATGGAATTCCTTAGAACTCATTTGGGAGTGATTCTAAAACTACTTAAAGTGATTATATAGAGAATCATTCTACATAGAAGTGCTTTTGGTCTATCAAGAATCACATCCAAACGAACCCTCAAGGGTCTTTTGAAAAAATAAAAAAATCTAGTCCTAGTCCAAGCATACACCAAACGCAGGATAAGTGTTATCCAACTTAGACTAAGCCAAGACAATCCCTAAGCATAATTCATACTAAGATAGTCCTGTGTAACAAACGAGCCCTTAGTGACTTAACTTCTTAGAAATATGGATTAAAGTTGCCTATCAAGTGTGGATATTCAAGTTAGCATATGTTAAACTTCTTAATAGGTAGGACTCTATCAGATTATCATCTGTAAATTAGTCTAGCCCATTAAAAGACATTGTGTGAAGTTGTTTACATATGTATATTGTCTTGAGTGTGCGTATGTTTCTTCGCGATTCAATTTACATATAGACCAAAAAGAGAGAAAGAAGCAATGGGGACCAATAGATGCCTGTTAACACACCCAAGGTCCTAAATTCAATTCCGTCCTTCATCAATATCACTTGTATCAAAAAACATCCATTGCCTAGTTTCATAAAATTGGTAATCTGACTACAAGTGGAAACGACAATGTTAGTCATATGGGTTGAATTGAATTGCGATTTTGGACCTAATTACAATTACAAGTTACAACCGTAGACGATACCTACGTTTCCATAAATAAAAATGTGACATTCTATATTTTGCTGCTAACACATTGCTCTGTTGCTGATCCAATTTCTTTCTTTTTATGGAATTAGATTTTCTCAACTTCCTCTTAAACCCTTCAACTTGTGGCAATTTAAGTACTTAGATAGGGGCACAAACAGCTTCCACAGACAACTTCTTCAGTTTGCTTGGACATGGGTCCTTGCCAAAGTTGGTATTTGATATGGTCACTGAACATTTCTGCTTGCCTATGCACTCCTGTAAAAAGACAGACATCAGGAAAAAAGATGCAAAGAAAATAAGAACTTATTCTTTAATTCAGTATGTGTTGTTGGAATATTATTATTGTCTAGATAAGGTCGAAAACCATATTGTTTAATTGAAAAAACTTTTAACGCTTTTTTCTGCAGCAAATTAGGAGCATTCTGAGAAGTACCTTTTCCAGGACAGCATTTGAGTTTGGAGCATGACAGTCACCATGCTGAAAAGTTCCACAGCTTCCAGATGGAGTTCCAAAGCTTGAAAATTTAATGGCAGAAATGGAGTGTCCCTCTGTACAGTGTAGGCTTATTTTGGGCTTATTTTGCTCTTCCAGTTGGCCATGGCTCTCAGTTTGCCAATTCCTGAAGTGAGGGTGGCTTTCAGAAACCTCAGCACAAACACTTGTCACTGATTTTTTTACTAGACCAATCCTTGATACATCACCACCAATCTCCTCAAAAACTACCAATAGGTTGTTAGACGATTTTAAGAAAGACCGAGGAACGTGGTACCTGAAACCATAGCATAACAAAGATGGATAATTAAAGTGGTTCTTATTGTGTTGTCCAAATTGGTTTATGAATAAGTTGTGTATGAAGTTTGTACCATTGTTGAGTTGGATGCTGGCAACCAAATTGGCACTTCTTAGGCCTGAATGTACCAGAATAAGCGCATTCGCTGCAGTTGCCAGTAGCATAAGTAGTCCAGTATCTTCCAATGCTCTGCCCATTGATCCATACTTGACCCTTCCCCATACTCCCCATGTCCAAAGCCAAGGGGTCATCTCCTTTTGGTGCATCAAAACTGGCCTGAGGGTTCAACCAGAGCTGTCTGTTACCAACAATGCTCAATGGTTCTAAAGGAACTTTGAAATGAATCTAAGCTGCTGTTGGAGACTGAACCAACTCCAATTCACTCTCCAACCCTCAGTTGAATTCTTAGATATAAACACAGGAAATAAGAAACAAAAACCATTCTAGTCAAGCTTCAACGTTTGAAGGAGCATTTCCATACCTTATACCAAGTCAGTGGCTGCTGTTTATGTGCCACTAGGGACCCCTTCATCCAATCCACCTCCGAGATGGAATGTAGAGCACCCAGATTCATGTCTTCTCCTTTTAGCCCAACCTGTATAAAGAGACAGTAGTAAGTTGGGGCTCCTTGGCCATACAAGTATGTCACCAAAGTTTAATGAATGTATTGTAGACCTTGTATGACCATTTCTGCCATGATAAATCTCTCTTTCCTTGGTCTAGTCCATGTAGAACAACTGGTCCCAGCACCCCTGTGCTCCGCATCTCAAAATGAGGACCATTGTTCTTTGACGACATCAAGCAGAAAGTAGTTCAGTTAAAATTCAACTAAAGGAGTGAAATATGACAAGAAAATATAAGACAGGATTCAATCTTTTTGGAAAGAGAGATCAATATAAGCAAAAATTAATAATGTTTCGACATAAGTAAATAGAAGTTTCAAATGCCCATGACACATCTAAAGAAAACCTTTTACTTATTCCAAATCCAAAACCTTCCCCAAGGGTCTTAGCATAAGCGGCTAGCCTCCGGGATATAATATCTTTACTTTATGATACTACTAGATGGCATGAATGCAGTTATGCTAGCATATCACAAAATAGATTGCACACACAAGAGATAGAATTTAAAGTATTTAGAGAAACTCTGTGTACATCCATGGAGGTAGATAGTCCACTATATAAACCATAGACATTACAGAGATACAAGAGTACGTACAGACACCAAATCAAAACTTCTAATCCAAGTAGAACGTTACAATACTAATCAAGCCACATTATAGGTATCTGAGACATAATATCCAACAACAAAATTGTCTTTGTAAACTAAGTATTGGAAGTTAACAAAAATGGAAATTAAAGAACTAACCGCCAATCCAACAGCTATACTGAGAAGTGAAATTTTATTCAGTCCAGCATGCAGGTTGACATTTCCTGTAAAAGTGAATCTCCTGTATTCCCTAGTCCCGTAAGCCGATCCTATCATTAGAGCACATCACCAACACTTAAATATCAAGGACATATTTCTTTTAAACAGACTCAGGGAACTATTTGCTTTCACATCAGTAACTAGCTGATGCAATTATCTAAACACAAGATTATCATCAATTTACCTGAGAGTTGGTCATTGATAAAAACATGTATAGCATCTCCAGCTGACTGCACGGTTAGACTGGGATGCTGGCCTCCACGCAGAAATGATTCTGATGGACTTATGTCGATGCTATAAACATCAAGTTATTGGTAAATTAATTTTGATAATAGGACTTACAATTTCAAAGATATGTTGAGTATAAAACATTTTAGTGGTTTTATCTAACCTGGTTGTGTACCACAAATAATCACTGGAGTCTCTAGTGATGTTCAACTGATCTAAGAGGCCAATGACCGTGATTGTTGTATCACCAGCCACTGAAGAAATGTCTTCATTGAAGATTTCCCATGAGCGCAATTCAGAGTTAGTGTGCAAAAGTTGTGTTTGGGATGTCTGAACTCCCACCTGCAATGGAATGCATGACTATCTGTTTATCATTTCTGTTTATACACTATACTAAAGTGGAATGAAACTACACAAAACTTTACAGCTATCCTAACGTTTGAGGTAATTCATTGAGGAAAAATCTATCCGAGCTGAAAATCATTTCAGGAAAGTGGTACAATATCTGACAAACTTGTGGAAAATAGAAATGATAAATAAAACCATTAAATTAGCATTCCAAATTAGCATTCTTTATGTCACTTACTCGAGCAGTGTTGAATACAACATTTTGGCAATCTGGAAGGATGCTGATGGACCAAGGGGGAAGGTGAAAGTTCATGTTATTGAAAGTCACCGTTGCAGCTGACTTTGTATTGTAGTTTGAGAGAAAAGCTGCACAAACTCCTGACTTGAAAGAGAATACATGTGCCTGGAATTTGTATCAAATCTGGTTTAAACAAGCATGCACTTCCATATGTCCTAACTAGCAAAAACATCAATTTAGTTGAATTTGATTTGAAAGAATTTTCAAGGATAAATTTCTTTTGAAACTACTGTAAAAAATTTCTTAAGCCTAGTTCATAAATTTCTTGAATAAGTTTGATTCAACATAGAGATCTTTTGATCTTTTGATAGGTTTCTTATTTAACTAATATGTAGAAGATGAAGTTACTTTTAGTTTTTATTTTTGAAAATATGCTGATTCTACTACAGAAAATTCAAAGTGATATGATTCTTACTAACACACTGACTCTTTAAATAAACCGACAAACCTGTCCATAGCTCCCTAAGGATGTGACAGTAGGGTCAGCATTTAGCAGAGCTGGCTCACATAACTTAACAGCCTTATGGAGTTCCTTTAAGTGGCCATACTTAGGTTGCCTGATCAAACCTGTCATTACAGCTAGAGTTATAAGGCTGCAACTGATAATATTTACACCTTAAGATATACCTTTAAAGAAAGATTACACTAGCGAAGAAATCTACGTTAAAAATTTTGAAAGCCATTGCGAAGACATGGGGTCAATTTTCTCACCATATTCATCAATGGGAGCATCATAGTCATAGCTGGTAGTAATAAAAGGGCCTCCAGCAGTTCTCCCAAAATTGGTTCCTCCATGGTACTGCATGCATTGATTTGGAAGTTTAGCTCATTTATTCCTCCATGCAGTTAGCTAGCTGTTACCAGTTCAAAACTAACCCTTGAATTAAGTAAAGAAGGTATGCAGGCTTCTAGAATTGTCACTACGAATCAAGTTTTTACATCTGGTACAAGGTTTTCGTACTTAACTTATGTCCTCTAGATATTAACATACAGAAATGGCTTATTGGAGACTCCTGTTAGAATGAATTTACTGACCATGTAATAATTTACGAAGGAGCCTCCTTTTTGAATGAATCCGGCAACTGCAAATGCCAAATCTTCAACAGGTCGCTGGTACACTGGACCACCAAATTCTGTAAACCTTTAAGAACACAGAAAAAGGTAAATCTACTTTTCTTGCAGCAGGTTCTCAGAGCAAAGATAGATGTACAATTATACTGAACGGGTCAATCCTTCCCTCCCATTTGTTTTAGCAACTTGGAACTTACCAGCCAGTCCAAGCCTCAGTCCATAGTGTGGGTTTGTGCACTCTGTTTGGGGAAAAATAGTCGCAATAGAAACCATTGCAAGTGTTTATCTGTAAACAGGATTTAAAGAATTCAAAGTAAATTAGACTTGCTAGCAATAAATTAGCCTCAGTAAAATTTTAAGCAGTTTCTGACATACAAGTACATTTATTTTCATATCAATCAGCTCTTGATCTAGTAGTACTTCTTTCTCTTCCCAAGGTTGAAAGAGGTCCAAGTTCGAATTCCCCCTCCCCCAATGATTAATTCTTTTTCATAATTTAAGCACTCCCTGGGAGCCTAAAGTATCAACTTTGTCTTTTATCAACAAAAAAAAAGTATCAACCTTGTCGTCCACCCATATTATAACACGTGGATTAGTAACACCACACACAAAAAATATTTCTCCATTTCCAGTGGTTAAATTAGTGAAATTAGCCAATATAAGTGTAAATCATGAGATGCTTGATGGTTAAATAAATAACAAGGAGACAAGAATGATAGTTGAACATGAGTTATTTACTTTCCAAAGACATATGCATAGAATAGGTACTAGGACATTTCAGTGGTGTAGACTAGTTTGCTTACCACTGGGTCTGGAGCATCCTGTTCCTTGCACATCACCCATGGGACCCCAGTACCCATTCCGACAGCCATCTTTGCAGCCCAAGTCATGTATGCATAACCAGAAGCCCCAAAAGCCTTGCTTTCTGGCTCATATTCATTCTCAATCTGCACAAAAGTACATTAACAATACAATTTCTTTTCTTCTTTTCATTTTTCTCATCTATCAAATCTGAAACTGGTGTAAAGTGCGAAACTTGTAACTAGAAGTGCTCAAAACGAAGCTCCTAGAAATTACACAGCAGTGAAAATTGGTGATAGAAGTTTACCTGAGAAAGAATGATGGGGCCACCTTGGGACTCAAATAACTTTTCATCCTTCATCAGTTGGACGATTTTCTGGGTAAATTTTTGCATTGCTGACTACAACACCAGAATAAGCAAAATACTACATTAATTCACAAAATTGATTGAAAGCTTAAATCTTCACATGGACGAACCTTGAAAGGCTCATTATCTGTTCTGAAGCTAATGCCTGGAACATACTTCAGCCAAACTGGAAACCCCCTACAGAATATAAAAGTGAAAAGGAAAGATCATCAAAGAAATGAATTTGAAGAAGTTAAGAACATAAACCCATCAAAGTTTCAGCTCTGTGGCTCAGGAAAAATGCTCATTACCCAAAATTCCATTCTGAGCAAATATAAGGCCCAATGCGAAGATGCACATAAAGCCCCGCCTTGTGGACCGTCTTTATGAACCGAGCCAAATCATACCTCCCCTCAAAATTATACTACAATGCGAAAAAGTTCAAAGATAAAAAATCATGAAAATAAAGAAAGGGACAATGTGGACAAAATGCAACTTATAGGAAGGAGAAAACATTATACATTGCCAGGAGAAGGCTCATGAAGATTCCAGAACACATAGGTGTCTATGGCATCCAAACCACCATCTTTGGCCTTCTGAATAAGGCCTTCCCACATCTGCATTTCATTTTCCATTTCCCATTAGCAAAAGGGTCATTGGAATTTTGCATAGGAAAACCAGATTTGGTTAGAAAATATGGAACTTGAATTTGGAAAGTGATACCTCGGGAGTACTTCTGGGATAGTGAATGGAGCCAGAAAAGAGAATTCTCCTCTGCCCATCAATGATAAGAGCCTTCCTATCATACACAACATTGCACTGTGCCAGCTCAAGACTTAGAGACCACCACACTATGCAGAGTAGAACCCAACCCCAAGCTGAGCTAGCAGCTCCCATTCTTCTCTCACACACCCAGAGCGAGAGAGAGAGAGAGAGAGAGAGAGAGAGAGAGAGAGAGAGACAGATGTGGAATATGGGAAAGTGGAGTTTGAAATGTGTTCACTATTGAGCAACAAAGGTATATTTCATTTTGTCTTCAATCAAATTATTGCTATACACAGGCACAGTGACAGTTGGCTCAAGAACAGTAAGGGAAGACAAACACAAAAACAAGAAAGCTAGGACATTTGAGCAAAAGACCAAAAGCAGAAGTTGATGTCATCTGCAATTTCTGTTTTGAGTTTTCAGTCAATTTAATTTTGTCACAAACAAATCTTTGTTTATGGCCAAAAGCCAAAATGCAAACCAATAATACATGGCTTTCCCTCCAAAAACAATTTTAGTATCCCGTGATTCTGTTTCCCTCCAAAAACCAATCTTTATTTACATGCTTGTCGTTGTCAAGGAGACGCATGCATGGGTGGTATGGTATCTATCTACTATATCTTATCTGCTGTACACCACAAGCATGTTCACATTCAAGCTAAGCTATGGCTGCAACTTTCAAAGGATGTCACATTTCTTAAAGGATAGATGTCCATGTCCACATACAATACAAGCATGTCCATTGTCCACGTTTAATATCATGTTGAGAAAATTTGAGATACTATAGTCATTTGGGAGGAAGAAAGTTAAGATCTACATTGAGGATTTTTTTTTTTTGTGGTACCACTTAAAAGGATAGATGTCACATTTCTTAGAACTATGCCAAGATTATGAAAAATATATATCTAGTTCAATTTTTCTGTCAACAAATACAATTTATTTAGCAAAATGAACTAAAAACTCAATATTTAGAGTAGTTTAGACTATCGTTTTTATCAAAACCTGGAGTCTATAGGCTTTTTTCCCCCTTTTGACAGCTAAAAGGCTTTAACAAATAGGAAACTTATGGTTGGTTGTAACTTGTAATTGGTTGTGAGTGGAGCAGACATTTGATAAACAAAATCAAAAGAAAGGAATTTGGGGGTCAAAAGAACATAGGATCCTTCGTTGGGTGCCTTTTTGGCTATGAAAGTGTGCCCCTTCGTAAAATGAAAAGCATAGACTTACATGTTAAAGTACGACTCTCGCTTTAAAAAGTTATATGAATTACCATATACGCCCCCATATGTTTCATGCCTTTTCTCCTCCGAATTGTAAATGAAAATGGAAGTCTTAATGTTAGGCATGGCAATGTTATGATCTTGATAGGACATTTAAAAACGAATAAACTCAGTAAATGACCCACTAGTATAATGGTTTGATTGCTTCCTAACGAAAAGGTTATTTGTTCGAATCCTAACATTCGTGTAGTATGTGTAGATTTAATATCTTATCATCTCTTTTATTTAAGAATAAGTTGTTTGTACCGAAAAATGAAAAGACAAAAAAAGTAAGATGTTATTGAACTATATTAACGTACTACAAATGTGCTTTAGCTCAAGTGATAAGGACAAGGATAGGATGAGGGTGACGGCTAGAATGTACCTTTGATTCTCCTTGTAATATAAAGGGGAATGTTTATAGAATGCAAAGATTGCCCTAAGCAAGATGACATTCTTCATAACATAATAAGGATAACAAGTTTAAAAACACTCGTTTGTTTGAGATATGATGAAAAACTTTTGCGGAACAACTAATGAAAAAAAAAAAAAAAAGATGGAAAGAGTTACTTGAGGGGGGCCGAAATGATTGAGTATAGATGACTCTTTTTTACATTAGAGGGAATCGAATCGAACCAGGATTGTTGTTCAAAACTCTCAGGGCCACATCTTCATTATTGATATCAAAAGGAAGATTGCTTATGAGAATTGTTCTGTACAAATCATCTTCTTCGTCTGTCTATTCAAGAATTGGTGCCATGCGTTTGCTTAACTTTTCAGGCTTAGTAACATCTGATGCTTTTGCAGTCTCAAAAGATGATTTACTGGGCTACTGAGAAGATTCAAAGGCTCCTTGCCCCTTTGGGGGCAGTGCGAGATCATCGTGAGGAGTTTCTGTGGCAGACAATGCGATCAAGTTGTTTAGAACTTTTCTTGCAATGTCTACTTCCTCTTCCAACCCCAAGTTTTTAGGTTTAATCAGTCAGAGATTAAAAAGACCTGCATTAAACATATCTGCGGAATTTCTTTCGCAATTCAAACTAGGAAAGTTGTGAGTGAGAGATATCAGTCTTTATGGAAGAGTAACTCATATGAATAATTCTAACAAGCTGAAGCTCTGATAACAGAAAAGCAAAATAGTTCAGATCACAAGTAGGGCCTAAGCCATGCATATCAGGCTTCAAAATTCAAAGCATTCAAAAAAGAGAATCCCTGTTCCCAAAATTGCAAACTACAGGAAGAAAGAGATGGGGAAAGATGAAGAGAAATAGTCAAACAAATTAAACCTATAAAGCAAACAAAAATCAACAAAAACCAATCCATCTGCCATTATAGTCAACAATCACAGCCAAATTCAAGATGAACTTTGATCTCAAAAATTTCAACAAGCTAAGGTGGAAATCAGGCTTGATTGCAGTCACTTCTTAGAAAAATGTGCAAGGTTCTTTTGAGGTGTACTTTGGATTCAAGGTCTATCGTGGCCTGTTTGATAGCCGAGAAGAAATTTGCTTGAGTTCCCTGAAAACGGTAATAATTCGACGTTATAAGACCTTATATACTGTATAATATATATTGACAATATATATGGAGCATTAAAAATCAATGGAACTGAGCTCAGGAATATGTCTTTACATTCTTAACCAGACTCATGCACTCAGTAATCTGGCCCAAGAAAAATAAGGTCAAATATTCAAAATGTTCCTTTCAAACACTTGGAGACCTAACTATATGGCAAGGGTGGCTATGTGGCGATCAATACCATTTTTAGATGGCATTGCAAGCTTTTGTCCTCAGTAAGCAGTCTAACAACCAGATATTGAATAAACAATTGGTCCCAAAGCTTAGAAGCAAGGTTCTTCTTGTTTTGCTTACTATATTATTAAGGATTTTAGAATTTTAAATAGACAAATGAAACTTTTACATCCGTCTTGTAAAAATTGTACGTACCTCTCTAGGAAAAACCCTTTTGCTTGTTATGTCCATCTTTCACTAGGTTATGTGGGAGCCGTCGTTTATTTATTTATTTTATCAATCGGAAAGGAAGGGAGGATTTGAATTTGAGACATCTCTCAACATTGGGAAGAAACGTACCACTATATCAAGAGCTAGTTGGTATGTGGTAGCCGTCTTTTATAGTGGATTTCACTTGTGTTCTGAGTGCTGCCAAAATATCTCATTGCCTATGTTCAAATGAAGGTAAAGAACAGTGTCAAACTAGTTCACATTAAAAGCTTTCAAATACTATTTACAAAAATTAAAAGCTTTCAAATTTTGACCAATTACTTTAATTTTCTAAAAAACAACGGGAGAGTGCGATCTTAGGAACTATCCTGACATATGGAAGAGAAATACCACTAGACTTAATATGTCGAAATTCAATAAGGGCAACAATCCAATTTCACATATATTTGACATTTATGTTGCCTATTAGGTTAAAGATTTCATCTAACCAATGATCTAGACTGAGAGTCTAGCAACACAACAAATGTTTGTTAGGTTGTCTAGCAAAATATATTAAAATCATTCAAACTGACATTAAAATTTCCATTAGATTATATATCTAATGAGCTCTAAAACACTGAACACTAAATCTTGTTTTATAAAGGCATTTATACATGCTGCATAGAAGCTCAAAAAAGGGGGAAAGTGGATATGTCAACAAGAAACACACGCTGGATGCCAACCATTTTCCTTGACTCTGAGGCTGAGAGAGCCATATGTTTCACGTACCTCTCTCTTGCTTGCTTAAACCCTCATTTCTCTAAACAATAAAAAATACAAGATGACGATCTTCCACTACTCTGCTTCCCTCATTTCTTTAAACAACAACAAAAATTCAGTATGTTGCTTCCAAACTTTCAAATGAAACCTCTACAGTCTCTACCTAATGTTGACAACAACACCTCCATCTCACAAACTGATGCCAAATCTGTTTTATATTTTGCCGACAGCCCTATAAAACCATTAGACCTTGACCTGCTATCATGTCTCAAAAAATTGTCATTGCTTATGAACATTATAGTCACGAAAATTGGCAAAAACCAACAATTTCTGCTGGGGTTCTGCGTTTCTGTTCTTACGTTTAGCTGGGGATCTTACAACCATAGAAAGATGCATAAACAAATTCGCCAAAGTCCCCATCTTCAAAAAGTTCATCCATTCCACTTTGTAGAAAAACAAAAGATGAAAACTGTAAGATGCAAAACAGGTTCAACATGCAAGTCATAGGGTGTCATATTAATCCATTAAAAATGGTACAACGGACACCAGTCAAAGTTGTCATATTTATTTAGAGCAAAGTATTAGAATACTTAAATTCAAACAACTGAACAAAACAAAAAAAGAAACACAGAGAAGGAGATACATTTATTTTGGTCTGACTCATGCCTCCATATCTATATGCTACAAGCAAAACACCATTTCGATTTTTTAAAAAACCAGAAAAACGGCAAACAATGGACATGAAGAACTTCGAAACGCACCGGTTTGGTGGCAACCAAGATGCTTTCTTGATGCCATTGAGCATGCCTTTAGATGCCAGAGTACGGAAGACAATACGGGACATACGGAAGGTCTCGTAGACGGCGCGTGGGCGACCGGAGAAGATGCAGCGGTTCCTGACGCGCGTGAAGGAGCTGTTTCTGGGCAGCTTGGAGAGCTTGAAGCGGTTCTCCTCGCTCAGTTCGCTGGGAAGGCTCGGGTCTTTGCAGAGGGCTTTGTACAGATTTCGTCTCAGCTCGTATTTCGCCGCCAGCAGCCGCCGATGGTGGTCTCAGATATTCTCATTGTCCTCAGAAACTGACATTTCTTCCGCCGATGGTGGAAGCGCGCACTCTGAATTTTTTTTATTTTTTTTCTGGGCCTGGGGTTTATCATGAATTGTTTTGTAAAACCGGGAAATAAAAAATAAAT